TAATTCTTTATTATTATTTCAAGTTTTTAATCAATTGAAAAAAATCTCTACTTTTCGCATGTCATCGATAGTAGTTGAATTACCTAATATTCGTTATTGTACAACTCTTTTATCGGCAGAATTATCACCAGATAATAAAGTACTTATTAACAAAGATGAAGCACATTTTGTTGATCAGCTAACTGATCAACTCAATCCGTTTCAATGGGTTTATGGAAATGGTATGAACTGATATGAGTGTAGTAATATATAGCTTTATAAAAAGTTTCTTTTTTTCCGCGCTATAATAAGTAAATAGATCTTATTTTATTTTTAGTTCGTTCTAATGCCCCTATTGTTATTTGGTGTGGTCCGCAACATTCATCCTTGAGAATTGCATTGATTACATATTTAACAGTTGAAGATATAACTCTGATACTTTTTTCAGTAGAAGAACATTTGTGGCAATGGTTGGATTTAAATTCTTCGTTAACAGTTGCTTCTCTCATTCTTCAACCAGCTATTCGTAGTCAAGAACTTATTGCTCGAAGTCATACTTATGTTGGTATTCGTTCGATTCTTGTCCGCTGTAGGACAAATGATTTGACAATAATACAACGATCTTCAAGATCTTATTCAAAAGTTGATGGGGTTTTTGATGATGACACTCGTCTTTTGATAAAATTAGTGGTTGATCTTGTACTTTTTTCTGAAGAACTAGGAGATCAACAAAGAGAAGACGACGACAATGAGATGGAGGCCCAAAAACACTATGCACGAGCACTTAAATTGTGTGCGTTAGTTAGAAAATTATAAAATGTATATAAGGTATGAATATATAACTTTATATACATTGAGAAAGCTTTGAGAGATGTTTGATAATTAGTGCTTCCCTTTTGAGATTCATTTTTAAAGTTATTTTAAAAACATTGATTTAATTATTTTCTATTTTTCGACAAAAAAAGAATTTTTTTTTTTGAGAAATTCCTCTTAATATGACATGAACTATCATTGAAAATTTCTTGACTGCAGTTTATTAACCAAGCGATTTTTCATTTCAAGAATTATACTCAAACATTTCTCAAATCTTTTTTTTTAAGAGGTAGTTTAGCTTTGCATAAATATGAAAGTTTCAACTGTATATTTTTTCTAGTTTTTATTTTATTAAAAACAGTACTAAGTTAGATTAATCTAAAGTGTGTTTTGAAGGGAATAAGGTTGAAGGAAGAAAAAAAAAGTTTTTGTAACATTAACTTATGATAGATGACTTCTTCAACTTTGTTACGAAAGAAATGAAAATTTTCGTAGATAGGAAAGTGTGATATTGCTCATTTAACCCTCCTCTCGGAATATCTCATAAGTATATTTTATATTAATAAGGAAGTTCAGATAATGTTGTAAGTTACAGTATGTAAAAGCTGTTAGCACAATTTCTGCCGGATTAAAATGTGAAACACGATACAGTTGTTATTTGAACTTTCAAGGTGTCTGTCACGGTCTATGGAAAGGGATAAGTCCAAGTCTCTACCGCTACACTTCAACACTTTTAGATCGTGCTTCGCAAAAGTCTGAGCTTACATTGAAAATCTTTCGAGTCATCAAAATGTGCATTCAAATTTCTGATTTTGGACATACTGAGGATTGAGAAAGCTATGCGTTAAAATCGACTTGAATATACTGTATCAACATGTGTCAAGAAAAGATAAATCCCAAAGAGCACATAATTAAAGTGAGGCTCTAAAAATTGATCGTATAGATTTAGTTTCGAATTTTTTTCCATACTGGTAACTGGCATAAAAAATTCAAATAGTGATTTAGATGGATAATGTTTTTTTTTGAAATACATGAAATCCTCACAATATACACAAAATCCAGAATCTATAGAATGCGCCAGATCTAGTTTGTCAGCACTCAGCACTTCAAAATGAACGCTTCTTTTGGTCACACATAGTGATAGAGAAAATAATTCTTTAGAAAATGAGATATCTCAGAGCTCTCTATAACATTTTTTTGACTGAACTACATCAGATATAAGAAAAGTACAAAAGTTATTTTTGTTTTCCGTATGGAAAAAAGTAGATTTTGTGCTTTCATGAAATTTGATGTAGTTCAGTGAAAAATGGTATGTAAGGTTCTGATTGTTGAAAAACTAGTCTTAGATTTTACGAAATTCAACTAAAATTTAAATGCTCAAACTTGATCTTTCTAATTTGACATTGTTTTTTAAAACTTCATCATGTCTGAACTTCAGAAAACTTGATTTACAGTGTTTTTTTTGTAGCAAAGAACGATAAATATTGTGTAGTTCATTTGAGAAGCATTCCTCATAATACACGTATAGAAACCACTTGTCTAAGAACCTTCATACATTGTACTGTTTTTTCAAATAGATAACTAGAGAGATTAGTAAGACGACAACACAATAAAGTGTTTTTTTTAATAAATCGTGTGTCACTATTTTTACACATGCATGTTCTCCCTGTTTTTATTTATTTTAAAACTCTTTTAATAATATTAACATATATATATATACCGCTACTCAAATCATATATATATTGTCATGTAACTTTTTTGTGACTATTTAATGGTAAATTATTTTGCTTTTAGATTAATTGTAGAGTTATAACTAGACTGCGATTTTGATATTTTTCTTCTATATATTTGTCAAAATATAATCGTTTGACATTTCAATAAGTATTTCTTGTTTTTTTATGTATGCGTTTAATCACTTGGTTTTTATTTTTTAGATCGATTTCCATGGCTACTGCCCTACATAGAAGTATTGACGTGACCAAGATTCTCGTACTTTGGTCTAAAGCTATTCCAAAAGATATCAGGTCTTCATCTACTGTATTTTTCGTACATTTATTTACAATGATTAACTATGTATACGAGAATATTAAAAAAGTAGATAAATTTTTGTTGATCGTTTCTGGTGATGTTCTCAAAGTATTGCTTGATGATCCAATTTGTCGTTCTCCACAAGTCGAAGCGATCTATGCGTACTATGATAATGATCATGATCTCATACAGAATAAAAACACTTATCGAACACACTACAAAAAAATTCGATTTTGTCATGAATGGAATGTAAGAAGACAAGTAGTAGAAAAATTAATGGTTGATGATGCTATTAGTTCATCCGGACCAGTTGAACGTGAAATATTAAATGACGCTGTATCATCGATGGAACAACGTATTAGTACTAAACGGTCAAATACTGCTAGTTGGCATTCATCAAAATCAAAATGGCTTCCTACCACAACGACACATGATTATTCTGTCAAGAACATTGAAGAAATTCCGTCTCATTTTATATGTCCATATTGTAAATTAGTATTTCGTGAGCCATATCAACTTGTCTGTGGACATCAAGCGTGTCAATCATGTATTAATTTTACAAATAAGTAAGTGTATTTTGCTTTTTGATTATTATCGAATTGAATTTGAATTCAATTCTATATTTCTTAGCGAAATGATCTGTTTAACATGTTCTAAAGTTTCATCCAAGGAAAATGTATGTATAATAATATTATGTTTTATTTTTTTTACATCGATTTTCATTGTTTTAGATTCGACTTGATCACGATTTTTCTAGAAAAGTACAACAAAAATTAATATCGTGTTCGATATGTGATTGGATTGGATCTTTGGCGATCTATCAAGTATAAAATATCAATAATGTTTTTTAAACAATGAATTATGATTTTTTTTTCTCAGCAACATATCGATCAACAACATCATAATATTGAATCTAAGGCTATGATGATAGATGTACATACTCAGCAGGTACATACTTAGTGTAATCTTCAATTTATATAATAAATGTATAAATATGTTTTTAGTATGATCATAGCAATCTTATACAAGATGTAAATAAGACTGAAACACAACAAGAAATTGTATCAAATATTTTTTCTTCTTCATGTTCTATATTACTGCCACATAATAGTAGTACAATTAATAATCAACAACAAAATCATAATATAATTCGTCATAATCATAGATTACTTGAAACTATTGACGTTGTTCTTTCTCCTGATCTCAAAATTAGTTATGATTTATTAGCTCAAGAATTATGGCCAATGAAACAAGCTTCAGACAATGCATTACGTACATCTGATTGTGGTACATATAGATGGAAAATAAGTGATGTTCAAAAGAAAATAGGTATTATTAATATTGCTTGTAAAATCACCCTTTTTTCTAGTCTATACTATTCATCGATCAGAGTAGACTAGACTGATTGATTGTTCTGTATAATAAGAATGCAAAATGAATACTATACATCTCGTTATTGCTCTATCTTTATACATTCTCTTTCGTATTTTGATCAACTGATTAAAAATAATGAAACTAGTCATGAAATTAGTAAGAAAACTTTTTATTACGGCTTGCAATAGAACTAAAAGATAAAATTTACATATCCTATTTTGATTTACGATCATAACATACCTTTTTTTTTTTATTGATCTACATTTGTTAGAAAACAGCTTCAACATATTTACTTCTAAACCTTGAATAGATACATGTTGTCTTTTGTATTTACTTGATATTGTGTTTTTCTGTTCGTAATATGAATTGACTATAATTTGATATTTTCTATCTTCTTATTCTTAATTTATATTTTATTGGTGTTAACTGTCGCATATTTCATTTATAAGCTAAACACACTTCACTTGACGATATGCATCCACCAATTCATCGTTTGAAGTTATTTGCTTGAGAAATATCACTGCACGTTTTAGTAGAGTCCATTGATATATGAATAGTGATCGCTATTAAGATCTGTAAGTTGTTTATATGCTCCACAATCTAGAGCGGGAATTTATAATCGTTACAAAAAAGATTCAATCATTTGTAATTTTGTTGCTTATTAGCTTCTTTTCATGATCACAAGAATTCTTTTTAAAACAATATTTAATTCTATTGGTTATCCTCAAGACCCTACTAGGTAAATTTACCATTTTTGAATAAATATATAAAAAGATTTTTTTAGCTTGATGAAGTGTTTTGTATTTCTAAATTGATTCATATTACTTGCTCTTTTTTTTTATAGCTGATGCACAATCAGGACGACAAAAATCGATCTATTCACCTGCATTTTATTTATCACCAACAGGCTATAAAATGTGTTTAAGATTGTATTTAAATGGTGATAGTGATGTTCGTGGTAGACATATATCTTTATTTTTGGTTATAATGCGAGGTGAATATGATGCTTTTATTGACTGGCCATTTTCTTATGAAGTATTATTTCATTTAATTGACCAATCAACATTAAATAATAATCAACGAAATATAATAGCTTCGTTTTGGCCTGACACAAGTTCAGATTCTTTTCAACGACCTTTTTATAGTATGAATCATGGTTATGGTATTAAAGAATTTCTCTCTCTCGTTGAATTCGAACAATATAAAAGCCTTTATATAATAGATAATACGATGTTTATTGAGACTAAAATTAATACTTTAAACGAGAGACCAGGTAAAATATCTTGAACGGAAAAAAAAAATGTTTTGATTTCTTTTTATTTAGTATCATCCTCAATTTTGTATACAGGTGGATCGCCTAAGGATGAAGAGCACATAGATACAACTGATGAAGATTTTACGAACATAAACTAACATTCTGATGCAATGTGATTGGGAAGGGGAGGGAGGGAAAGCATAGCTTCAGTACTCAATTCGTACTTTTTTGTCATTAACTTATATGTAATGTGTCAGAAAATTTATTCTCAACCAAGAACAACATTTGAAGTAATCTTTTGCTTTTTTAAAAAAATGTATTGACTTCATTGTTTTCCATGTTGGTAAAACTAATTTGTCAGTTTCGATAATATTTATTCGAGAACAAGAGAACGCTAGAATTATTAGTGATATTTACATAGAGTTAGTAGAATATTCCATCCGTATATGCAGATTAGCAAAATTTCCTCTAGTTTCCATTTTTTTCTTAAAAACAAACCTAATCATTTCTATCGAAGAGGGTGTGGGTATGGGTGAAAAGAGCATCGTCATCTACACTCACACCCACATCCCAAAACATTTATCATATACACAGAAAAAGAACAAAAATAAAAAAACTATTGATAAACATAAAACATATTCATCAAAGAGTAGAATGCGAACTAGTTGATCAATGGAAAAACATTTTTGCAACAAGCGTTCATCTTCTCAGCTTCAGTCGGATATCTTCAACAATCCGTTATTTTCGACTAATTCCTGGATATGATGCTCTAGATTGCCATCAATCTGATTGAAGCTGAGGCGAAGTGTGGTGAGTGTCTATAGGAATAACGAATAAATAGTTGAATGGAAAAATAGCGAATTGGATCATGCTACTTTGTTTTGTTGTAGAGCATTAGCAAAATGTTGTGCCCCTTGATCATGAATTTGGTTCCACCAAAGGCCAAGTGTAGTGAGTGTCTGTAGAAAATAGTCAGTGAATGATTCAATAAGAAAAAGAGTGGTGCCGGTTGTGCTACCTTGTTTATTTGTAAAGCATTGGCTAAATACTCTGCTCCTTGATCACCGATTTCATTATGCCATAGGTTCAATGTTGTAAGTGTCTGCAGAAAATAGTGAGACATGGCTGACTAAGAAAAAGAGTGATTTGGATCGTGCTACTCTGTTTTGTTGTAGAGCATTGCCTAAATGTTGTGCTCCTTGACTACCGATTTTGTTCTCCGAGAGACCCAGTGTTGTGAGTATCTATGAAAAAATGTGAGTAAATTGTTAACTAAGAAAAAGAGTGGTGTCGACCGTGCTACTTTGTTTTCCTGTAGAGCATTAGCTAAATACTCTGCTCCTTGATCACTGATTTTATTGTTCGACAGGTTCAAAGTTGTAAGTGTCTATGGAGAATACTGAGTGAATGATTGCTTGAGAAAAGAGTAGTATAGATCGCATGCTACTTTGTTTTGTTGTAGAGCATTGGCTAAATGTTGTGTTCCTTGATCACTGATTTCATTGTCCCACAGGCTCAATGTTGTAAGTGTCTATGAAGAATACTGAGTGAATGATTGTTTGAGAAAAGAGTAGTGTCTATCGGATGCTACTTTGTTTTGTTGTAGAGCATTAGCTAAATATTGTACTCCTTGATCACTGATCTTATTGTTCGACAGTTTCAATGTTGTAAGTGTCTATTGGTAATACTGAGTGAACGATTGCCTGAGAAAAATAGTAGTGTCGATCGGATGCTACTTTGTTTTGTTGTAAAGTATTGGCTAAACATTGTGCTCCTTGATCACCAATCTGATTCCCAGAGAAGTCAAATGTTGTAAGTGTCTGTGGTGAATAGTGAGTGAATGGTTGATTAAGAAACATAGGGATGTCGATTGTCCCACTTTGTTGTCTTGTAGTGCATTGACCAAATGTTGTGCTCCTTCATCACTGATTTCATTGGACAAAAGGTTCAATGTTGTAAGTGTCTGTGGCGAATAGTGAATGGATGGCTGATTGAGAAAAAAAGTGATGCCAACCATCCTACTTTGTTTTGTTGTAGAGCATTGGCTAAATGTTGTGCTCCATGGTCATTGATCTGATTCCATTCGAGATCAAGTGTAGTAAGTGCCTGTAGAAAAAAGTCAGTGAGTTATTGACTAAGAAAAAGAAGGGTATCGGTCGTCGTACTCTGTTTTGTTGTAGAGCAATGGCTAAATGTTGTATTCCTTGATCACTGATTTCATTGCGCGACAGGTTCAATGTTGTGAGCGTCTATAGAGAATATTAAGTGAATGATTGTTTGAGAAAAGAGTAGTGTCTATCGGATGCTACTTTGTTTTGTTGTAGAGCATTAGCTAAATATTGTACTCCTTGATCGCTGATCTTATTGTTCGACAGGTTCAATGTTGTAAGTGTCTATTGGTAATACTGAGTGAATGATTGTCTGAGAAAAATATTAGTGTTGAACGTGTGCTACTTTGTTTTGTTGTAAAGCATTGGCTACATGTTGTGCTCCTTGATCACCAATCTGATTCCCAGAGAAGTCAAATGTTGTAAGTGTCTGTGGTGAATAGTGAGTGAATGGTTGATTAAGAAACATAGGGATGTCGATTGTCCTACTTTGTTGTCTTGTAGTGCATCGGCTAAATGTTGTGCTCCTTGGTCATTGATCCGATTCCATCCGAGATCAAGTGCAGTGAGTGCCTATGGACAAAAGTGAGTGAATGATTGACTAGAAAAAAGAGGAGTATCGGTCGTCGTACTCTGTTTTGTTGAAGAGCATTAGCTAAATGTTGTGCTCCTTTATCACCAATTTCATTGCTCGGTAGGTTCAATGTGGTGAGTGTCTGTGTGAAATGGCAAGTGCATGGTAGAATAAGAAGCAGGCCGATGTGAATCATGTTACTTTATTTTGTTGTAGAGCGGTGGCTAAAGCTTGTACTCTTCCATCATCTATTTTATTGTATCTGAGATCCAATGTAGTGAGTGTCTGTGAAAAACAGTCATCTGTAAAGGAATATTTGTAAAGAAAAACTGATTCAAAATACAAATCACGTCTAAGGAGGAGGCAGCGTCGTGCTCGGTTATTAATGTTAGTATAGTTCGATTAGCTGGTGTGGATAATTCTTGAAAATGTTAGATGGAAATAGCAAGAAGTTGCATCACTATTGATTTTCAAAATTCGAAAAAATAACAGAAATTCTTCAATATACACTGTCGTCATTACGGCAGGAGATTTCGAATAGGTTGTGGAAGATTGTATATCTGAGAGCAATTTCAGACGGTAAAATACTCAGAAACTATCTATACGCTTACAAGAAATTTTTGTTTTTGAGGAAGCAATACGTTCCAAAACTACTGGTAAAAGCAAATTTTCGTACGAATTAGGTGGGCTTGTTGATAGACTTTAACGAGTTAGGTCGCGTAGTTCGGAAGTTTCTCATATTTTTCTTTTAGAAGGACTTGTAGAGAATACATCCTATCACTCTCACTCTGACAGATGCCTCCTATCGGTATCAGTGTCCGACACGGGTCACTTTTTTTGTGACCCGACCCGAGGTGAGGGATAGTTTTTGGCCAATCAAAGCGAGTTTTTTTCAGACATTGACAATCTTCTCAGTAAATCGATACATATTCTATAGGTATTCGAAATAAAGAAATGATTATCTCATCTAAAATTGCTGCTTTTCTTATGTGAAGTTCGGAATTCGTAAAACTTTTGTGACCCGATCCGACTCGACCCGAGCTCAAAAATTTTTTTCGTAACCCGACCCGACCCGTGTCGGGCACTGATCGGTATAGGGGCTTCACCCTCAAGATAGTTAGTGAGATTGTTATGCAGAGAAAAAGGCTATGTTATACGAAGATTATATTAGGGATGTAAAACAATCAATCAATGTTTGTTTCATCTTCGATAGCATCACATTTTTACACAATGATTAGAGTTCAATCAATCATTTTACATTTAAGATTTAACTGCGTTGGACTGCCTCTTCCAAGATTATTAGTTCGATTTGACTCCATTTTTAAAAAGTGGTTCGGGTTCGGTTCGGTTCGATTTCGGTTTCTGTTCAGGATATAATTATTGCCTGTATACTAGGGTATGAATAATATGACGAGTCGTTTCCACAAACTGTTTTCGTTAAATAAAGGCACTTTCAAGTTACTATTAATCATTTGATTCGTGATAGTTTTGCTTTTTCAATGTTAAAAAAAAAGTAATTCTAATACTTCAAAAAAATGTCTTCATTATTGTGTTTTGTGTTTTCTAAGATATCATGAAACCTTCAGTAATGCTCATAATCAGAATTGGAAAGTATTAAGGAAAATAACACATTTAGAAAAAAAAATAATGTATTTTCAAAAATGATGAATATATGATTTTATGATAGAACTAAAGATTACTTGATATCGATGGTATATGTCTATTATGTCATTAAGTCTTGTACAGACATTACGGCATGATATGAGAATTGTTACTTCATTGAGATGATCAAGAATTCTATAAAACAGTTCGACAGGTAGCGTATGTAGTGATGCAGGCATTTTGTTCCACGTTAGTTCTGCTTTTTTCGAAACGTATGTGTGTTGTGAAATATTCTATTACTTCTTAAGGGTGCGTTCGTTTGTGTACATCGAGTCAAAATGCTTGTGATGGTGTAATTTGTTCTTCTCGTGTAGAAATGTAAAAATGTAATAAGAATGGTAAAATATGAAGGCTCTATAGAAGCAACTATTCATTCAGTTGTTTTTTTTTTATGTCGTACAAAGCAATGAATTGCGCCCACGTTGATTTTTCATCTCTCCTCGATAAATGGTTAGGAGAGAAAAAGAAATCAACGGTTTTAAAGACGATGAAAAACTAAGAGGCAAATCTCGTGAATAAAGACACCAGTAAAAAAAAAGTAATACTGATATTTGAATTTAGTCCTTAAGTTTCTTGCCAGACAGACGCTTTCACTTTTGAGCAATACAAATATTCATAAAAAGATTAATATTTAAGAGAATAATGGTTAGATTAAATGAATTGACAAAGATGTTATCGAAAAAAAAAATTATTGAAGAAAGGGTCTGACAACTATTCCATACGTATAAATTGTTAGCTTCTTTATTAGTCTCATAAGTATGTTAAAATTCACCTGCAAAATATGCCTAGTTGTTAATCTTCAGCGCCCTTTCATGTCACGAAGAACATCTCAACTTCATCATTCGACTAGAAAAATAATTCACATCTGTTAAATACAAGTATTTTGTAGAGTTTGAAAATCTGAATCGGTTGATACAAAAAGAATAGTTTTTACAAGTCTGCCTTTGAGAAAAATTACCAAAGAAAAGTATAATTCCGTTAGGCGAGGACGTTCTCCTGATAGTATTTTTTTGTAGTGTTCAGTACTCTTAATGATATCAATGTTCAGTGTGTCTTTCTTGAAAAAGTACATTTCAATGAAATTGGCAGCAATTTAATCTGTGTCATCCGTTACAAATTTATTTTTTCTTTCTAAGAATTATCGAACATGTATAGTGTGTATTTGATGCATTTTTTAATCTTTTTTTTAAACAAATTTTGGATTTGGTAAAGAATAATTCGGAAGTAATTGACTTTTGTTAGTTTTTCGTACTATAACTAAATAGAAAATTAATTGTGTCATCTTTCTCTATTATAGAATATTTCTGAAAATAAAGTTTGTCAAAAAATACTTCCTAATTAATTTCTTATTTTGAGAACAAAAATCTAATTGTTTAGTTTTCAACCTTGGATACTGCGAATTTTGAACTTAAAATTGTTGGAGTTCGAACTCGAATCCTTTAGTTTGGTAACTACTAAGCCTTTCTAACAAAAAATTAATCGTTCAATGTCGAAAATTCACTGATTGAAAACAAATCGTTGAAAGTGCAGTTTTTCAAACACGATTAATTAGTGGATTTATGACTTAATGCAGACTTTCAACGATTGTGATAAGTTATGTTTTTATTAGACTGTCGCCCTCAGTAAAAGTGAGCTTTCGACAATTATCAATACTCCAGTTTTGTTTTCGGGAAATTTCAATAAAAACACAACTTTCAGCAATCTAATGTAGACTCAGAGAATTTTTCAAAACTCTTTAAAAGAGTTGTTTCGAGTCGAAGAAAGTTTTAAAACGGAACAAACAAAGATTTGATTTTTCTCCTAAAGTACTCGTTTGAAAGTTATAAGTTTGTCAAGTATTGGCTTGTACTATATTAATTGGATTGCGGCTCTATGTTGTTTCTTCTATTGGTCTACTTACGAGCAAAATATTGAATCAATAGATGAGTGTGTGCTTTTTTATTTGACCATTATTCACTTGTCTTACCTATATATTATGAAAAACAAACGTGATCAGTTTTCTCCACTAAACACGTTTGTTGATATATAGAACAAGGGTATCATTTCTACAACAACATGAGTATAATACATGAAAAATACGTTACATCACTCTCTTCATTCTGTTCTTTCGCAATCGTATTTTGTTTCTTTTTCTCTCTCTCTCTCTCTCTGTATCATTTATTTTTATCATTAAGAATATTTGTCTGCATAAGAAAATTTGGAAGGTTTTCATTAGGAATGATATTGCAAATTTTGTCCACAATATTTTTGATAATGATGAATTAGATTCTCATATCAATAATTGTATCTCCGGGACCGAATCTGATTATATTATTTGACATGATTTTAAAAAATAAACGTAACTTAAAATACATAAAAATATTATTAGAATAGAAATCATTCACTACAATAACAACAGATAATTTCAAGACATGTTTATGAGAATGTGACTTTGATAATTAGAATAGATGTATTCGGTTATTATTGAATGAATGTTCATAAACAGTACTGTATTCAAATATTTCTATTTCTAATTTATTGAAAAAAAAAATCTTTTAAAAAGTAATTATTGATCACTACATACCGTGTTTGAATTAGATTCTCATTTGACAATTGATGTGTATACTTTACCTCATAATATTCAAGGTATATTGTTTATATATAAAATGCACGTTTATAATAAATAGACACACGTAAAAAATAACATTGATATTATATCACTGTCAATTTAATTTAAATTATTATTTCATATTTTTTTTTATCATTATTTGATACAGGCATGATTTTATCTGAAATAGAAAGCAAACGAAGCATGATGTATAAGTGCCGGGTATAAATAACATTATAATGTTTTTTTTCTCCTTGCAAAATATCATGTATCCATGAAAATGTGATCTTTATTTTTGTTCTTGGTGTAATATTTGGTAATGAATTATTGTTCGAATAATAATTTGTAACAATCAATATATGACGAAATGAGAATTTATCAATATTTTTATGATGAAAACAATGAGAAATGAAAATTTTTCAATTTGAAATTTGAGTTACAAAATATTAATTCTACTTTCGATATATAATATTGTGAAAATACAAAAAATACAAAAAGAAATAATTAAATAAATTTATTTTCCTTCGATTTTTCAAGAAAAAAAAATCATATTGTGTTTGTTTACATATTAAAATTAAGATAGAAATAATTTTTTAATTTAATACATTATAAATCATAGTTGAAATGTAAAAAAAAATTGTCATTATTATATTATAAGATATCATTTTTTTGATATACAAATAATACAGATTGAATTACAATACAAACAATAGAATTTCAATTATGAATGTATCATACGATCTGAAACGAATGATTACTTGAAATTATTTTAAACAATCATCTATTTCAGAAATTTGTCAGAATAACTGGAAGCATAGAAAAAAAATATGTTCAGTAGTATGTATATATTCTCACTCTTAATATTAAGAATAAATTCTATATATTATTAATTTATTTTGATATTTTTAGTTGAACTAGCTAATCGTACTTAAAATAAATTTTTATATTAGCTTCATGGCATGACATCAAAACTTAATATCAAATATACAAATCTTGTTCATTTGTAAGGAAATTATATTAAAAACAAATTCATTCTAAAAGATTTTCACCGTATTCTAAATAATTTTTTCTAGGTAATTATTAATAAATTCTCAAACTTGAAAGAGAAAAAAAGAGTTGTGCATATCTTAACAACAAAATATTTTTGAATTTTTCTATAGAACAATAAACTATCGTTTTTATATTTTATTTTGTGTTGACTCAGTTTCATTTATATTTTGATATGTACAGAATAAATTTTCAATGAATTAATAAAAAAAACACAGTACTTTGATAATTGCAGATATTTTTGAAGAAATAAAATAAAATAATGAAATTGATTGATGTAAATTTTAAGTATTATTTATTCAAATTTTTTCAGATAAAGATGAATGTTTGAATAAATTATGAAGAAATTGATGGTAAAACAACAAGATGCATGAGAAGATGTTTGAGATGATGAATATGTATGATATAATTAATTTTAAAATAATGCAAAGAATTATTTGAAACAAGAATGTATTAAGATCGTATGAAAACAGTGATGGAAAGAATAGCAGGCTTTCACTCATATAGTCGATAAAAATCATACACGGCTATTGCCGTACTTTTATATTGATATGAAAATAGTGAGGATTAAATAATATTTATAATAAATATACGACACACACTATGACTTGCAACGATTCGATAAGAAGGGTTAAAGGCTAAAAAGGTTAAAAACTAAAATCATCAATCATTTTCAAATTATCAAATTAATACATCTTCAAATTAAACTTTTTCCCATCCTGTTTCCTTCAAAGCCGGATCGTTTTCTTTCTTCAGGAAATCGGCATTTGATAATGAATCAGCATCCCAATCCATAATAGCATTATCGGGCACTACATCAACCGGTACTTTATATGATGTTGACGTTTCATTATAGGCCAGGTTTGATTGCAGATTATAGCAGGAAATTATTGACCAACGCGGATGATCGGACAGGTTAGCCGCCGATCGGTGCAACAGGTTACTATGGAGTACCAGTGCATCACCGGCCTCCAGTTCAGCATAGACCAATTCCATCGTTTTTAAAGCGTTATTAACCATCTGCATATCGGCTCCCATTTGTTCGCCTGCAAAACCATGATTTAGCCTGCCCATTTTATGCGAGCCTTTTATTACTTGCAAACAGCCATTTTGCTTATTGGATTCGGTCAGCGCAACCATCACACTGATCAACTCATCAGGAAACATAAACTGGTTTTTATACCAGTAACCATAATCTTGGTGCCACTCCCATGCTCCGCCAACTTTTGGTTCCTTTTGCATCAGTTTTGAATGATAATGGCAAACCGGTGCATCGCCACCTAACAATTGTTTTACCATGCCTATCATCTTTTCACTACGGGTTAAATATCCAAAAATATCATTACCAGGAGTAAACCAAAGTGATAGTCTGGTTTTTCTACCGCTTTGATCATTAAGATCGAAAGCATTGTTACGCATGGCATTATCTTTCAATGCAGTACTATATAATTTATTTATTTCGTCGGGCTTGCAAAAGCCTTTTATAACGATGTATCCCTGCTGATGGTAAAGCTCAACCTGGGCCGGCGTCAATTTTTGGGTTAGCATTGGTATATATAATATATGATCTAAAAAGAAATGTGACTAGAACGAGTAGATTTTTACTTCTCCATCGACATTGCATGAATCAAGTTGTATCCTTGTTAGTGCTTCCGAGCTCTAGACTGAAACAAAGAGTATCGAAGAAAAGGTGAGTTTTTCATACACAAGTTCTTTATCACGACATTTGCATGATTGAAATATGAAACTCTCTGTATCCATCATTCTCAAGACTCACACACTTCGAATACTCAGATTGCATAAGTGAGTTTTACAAAAGTAGATCGTTGTCTACACAAGAATGACACGAATTATTGTCAACCACTTTGGATAGGAGCAACGTTGCATAGAAAAATGTTACAAAAATAGAAATGAACAAATATAGATTGATGACGTAATGTGGTATATAACTGACAGTATCAAACATTATTCTAAATATCTTATTTTCAGATTTTTGGACGTGTCTCAACCAAAGAACGAGGTGGATCGGCTTACAAATCGGCCCTATCTGAAAACCAAATATAATCTTCATATTTTCACTCAACTTGAGCATCTATCTTCATTAGCATGCTTTTTCACTCTTTTGAGAACGATTTCAGAAGACTTTTGAATTCCGATATACTGCTCGATTATACCACGGAAAACCATAGAAGAGTGCCATGGGTGACACCCTTGTGGAACACGGTTCTCCACTATTAGACCTGCTCCCGACTCTGTTCTATCTGTGCGATTACAAGTCACTACCCATGTAAAAAAATTTGCACAATTTTTTTTACATGAGTATAACTGATTATATTCGACGAAGTTTTCGTACTCATTCCGAATATCTCTTTGTTTTGATGATCTAACTTTGTTATAGTGAAGAAAGTTGCCATATACGAGTCATATTTTTACATTTTTCTATGATTTCCCATGGTATAATCGAGCAGCATGTCGGACCTCAAAATCTTCTGAAATCGTTCTCGAAAGAGTGAAAAAGCATGGTGACGAAGATAGATGCTCAAGTTGAATGAAAATATGGAGATTATGTTTGGTTTTCAAATAGGGCCGATTTGTGTACCAACCCGCCCCCATCCTTTTAGAAACATCGAATCAAATTACTATACACAGTCAACGATGGCGCGTCCTTTTCTCCTCCCACATTTCATATTCTTTGCTAACGCTAAATCCAACCTGTTATGAAAGATTTCTGGGAATCATTTTTCAAGTTGATCAAACGCAGCCGGTGAAAAAACATTCAATTCCATCTAATCATACGCTAAGAAAAATATCTTATGTATTCTCACACAATACACAACTTACTCTAAAGCTGATTAATGATAAAGTTACACAAAACTATCCATCACTCTTGTGAAATACGAACGCGAGATGGAGCAACGTCAGAGAGACACATTAAACCTACCTTTAAAAATGTCTTATCTAGTTTTTTCTTATCTATTGCCTCAGTAGCGCATGCATGCGACACACACACAGAAAAATAATGTGTTGTATTATGTGTCGATTACGACACAATCGTGACACATTATTTTTCTGTATGATAACGACATTAAATGTTTGCTTTTTCTTTCACTTTTTTCAAGAGAATTCTTCTCCCGTCACTAGTCTTATCTTTAGTCCAACAATAACATGAGTCGGATTTTATATACAACAGCCATTCTCAGTGAGCAAAATCCTTGACAGAGATATCGCGGGTGGGTGTGGGTGTAGGTGGGGTGTGGGTGTGGGTGTGGATGTAATTGTCGCTTATTTCATCACCCACACTTACCCACCCACATCCTACTAACTGAAAGAAAGTATTAGAGAAAAAAGGCCAAATTTTGTATTGCAGTCGATAGTGACAGACTTAAAGTGTGTCATTAAGTTCACGATATATGAATAAAATATTGTAACTTATCCATGTCATAAAAAAACATTAGTTCAGTTCTTTAAAATATGATGCAATTATTCTTGTATTCTTTAAGCAGGTTATTTCTCGGGCATTCGGTACAATTTGTTAACACAACTTACGAAAGAATCTTGTAAATTCTTTGTTATACCGTTTTTCAATCATGATTCAATCTTGAAGATTGAGTTTCTAAATTTGCAAATCATAGTTAAATTCTATTGTGCAATTCGGGATGAGCGGGTGAAGTAGACTTATACGTACGCCGACTACTACATTTTCCATTGAGTTTTAATGGTCACTTAATCAAAACTACGTAGAAAAGAAAAGCACATGATCGTCGGAAATGGAAACAATGTTTAAAATATCAGGTGTGTAGACGACTTGACATCTTATCTTGGAAATATTGAAGGAATGCTAGAGGAATGTTTTCAAATATCGTATAATATTTTTTCCATCTTTCATTTAGCATATTGCAGTCCCAATCTGAGAACACAATATCACCGAGAATCTCGTTTTCATTGATTAATATTCAATGTCTTGTACTAGAAAGAGAACCACTATGACCAATGTATCGCTTAATGTATGCCAAGTTCAACTTAGCCCAAAGTTGGTTGGCGGTTAGAGGCCATCGGATCCAAGATGCTTTGACCCAAATTCGAACTCGAGTATACTCAAATCGATTCTCTCAATCTCTCGCACAATAGCAGACTGTGAGTAAAACCAATTGGTTCAAAAATTTATTTGACTCGGACGCGGTCGACTTCGAGTCCTACCTAACGGACTTTAGTGGTGGTATACTTGTGGCATCGGTGATTCTGCTGAGTCATAAAACAAGATGAGATGATAACTGTCTATCATCTTCATTTCAAGGATATATCTAAGACCAAGAAGACTAGATCCATTATTCATACTTAAAGAAACTTAGAAAATGGACTCACATCTATACCTATGTTCTCATCGAAAAAGTTTTTTGATATTTGGTTGATCTGTAAAAATGAAATGGAATAGATGTCTTGTCGTACGATTCATTTACTCTCTATTCAAATGGCGCTGGTTTTGTTCAACTGACATTGAATATATATGAAGAGAATGAGATCAATTAGTCAAGCGAGAGTGTGAGTACCAGTGTAGATGTTAGTATGGATGTGAATTTTCTATTCTCTCAAAGTGACATCCAATCCAATCTAATACTAAACAAGATTTTGTAATAATTTAATTAGAAGGAAATGTTTATCTTAGTATGATGTCAGCAATTTTTTAACAACAATTATAGGTTGTTATATATTTCAAGAAGATCTGCACAAATAAAACAAATCACTAATATCTCATAATTACCCGCACATACAAAGAGCAGACGTCATTGTCAAATTTTTCTTCTTTTCTTCAACCTAAATCAGATAAAATGAGGGGAAAGAAGGATGTTGGTATGGGCGTGAGTGTGGTGAAGTATTCATTTAGAAATATTATTCTAGATAGAAACTAATAGATATTTATATATATATATATATATATATCAATAGTGTTCCATATCATGAAGCTTTTTTATGCAAAGAAAATTTAGAAATACATGATTAAAGGTCTTATTATGAATCGAAATGAAAGTACAAATGATAATTTGTAGAAGCAATACAAGACAAAAACAAAATTATCAGTAATGTAATAATTGACGTTATTTGTTCATCGAATGTCATTTTTTCTGTTTTATAGTAGTAAATCAATAATTAATACATAATTAAATCCCATTAGTAGGATAAAGCCATGCTTTCAAATTATCTTGACGACCTAAATATTCCAAAACATATGCAGCTGCTTGTATCATCTTTTCATATGCAAATAGATTCATATTTTGAATCGAATCACATGCTTTATGATAACATGGATCATAAGCTGCACCAACAATACCACCCATTCCTTGTCCAAGCATTTGACCGTAACGATCACGTTCTTCTTAGGATTTCATCTCATCTGCACCGGAGAATAATCCACCAGCAACAACTCCTTCAGCTAAAAATGGACCATAATCACTTCGACCACTAAAATCCGTAAGAGTCGAAGGTAGTTTCTGTTGATTAAACCAATCATGAAATAAATCAGTGATCTTTCTACTACCTGCAAGTGCTATCGGTGGAGTATCATTTTTTGCTGTTCGACCATCATATATACCAAACATATAATTCGGTGAACCAAGCATATCATAATTCAGATTGATCAAATAATCTATCAAACGTTCACCAACATTAGTCGAAGTTTTCGCTTTTTTGACGTGATCTTTAGATCCAAGAAGACCGATTTCTTCGGCACCCCACCAACAAAATCGAACACGATACTTGTATTTTGAATAAGTAGGTGTATTGAAAAGACGAGAAAGAGCAATAGCTAGACCAAGATTAGCTGCACTACCACTGCCTAAAATGAATAATGGATTAATTGCCGAGAGAATTTTTTGAATTTCATAATTTACCGTTATCGTTGATCCCTGGACCAGCTGGTACGCTATCACTATGACTACCAATAACAATAGTCTGAGTAACATCTCCTGTCGGTGTATCAGCACAAATGTTGCCTACAGGAAAGTCCGATAAATTTTTTAAGTTGATACCTAATTGAACAGTTACGTTGAACGATATATTTCGAGCTGAAGCAGCTAATGCTTCTCCAACAGTGTATGAAAGAAATAGAGCAGGTAAAGCATTATCTTGACCAAGACTAACTTCAATAGGTGTCATACGATCAGGTAATAGGCCATCATTATAAAACAGAATACCAGTAACATTGAACTTAGGAGCTTGGGCTGCTCTGTCAGCAAATGCACAACTACCTCCTCTTTTGATTAATGCTACTCGACCAGTAGTAGGTCCAATAGCTTTTTTCCAGTCAGATTCTGTACAACCACCATCTGGAATAATAGTGAGCCTAAAAATATTCGAAATATTGGACGATGTGGAATATTTAACGTGCAGAAAATCGGCAACAGTAGGATTCGTAGAGTATGTATAATTTTTTTTGACACCATCAATCGATGAAATCAAGATCGGATCACTCATGAGACTGAAATCTCTAACAGGGAAAAAAGTCTTAACTACAGTGAAATTAGTATTATTGGCAAGAGTGCTGCTAATAAAATTAAGCGTTTGATTGAAGCCAGGTGTATTAATAGCTCGAGTTCTATTCGAATTATCAGCGATATGTTGCAAATTTTTAAGATATTGCATAATTTCTTCGATGTTAATTGACTGTGCGAGAGTTAGGTTTTGTGGTGATTGAGTTGTCGTGCTTGTAGTTGATTCTAATGAATTTGTACTCGGTAATTTACTTTCAATCGTATCTAATCGCTTATTCAATGTTCCGAGAATAGCAGCAGTAAGAGCAAATGTAATTATTCCAAATACACATACTATCACTAATACAATGAATAAACGCATATTTGTTGAACCTTCCATAATTATTGTTGCGTATTATACTCAAATAATAAATGAATGAAATAAACTCTACCACTTTGAACAATATTTCTTAAATTGAATACCAATAAAGTATGGAGTAAGCCATAAAATTGAAAACTCGTACCGATAGTGAATATATTTAGTTATCAGTTAGAACAATTATTTTATAGACTTCTTTTTTTTTTCATGTAAGACAAAGCCATCTATTCAGACTGATAAAGCTACTACTACTATGTATATACATATAATCAAGATCAAAAAAACAATTGAAATTTTATGTTTCAATACAGAACATGATGATTAGTCGATAAAATATATATGGTCCACTTAAAAAGCATTGTGAGAGTTTTATAGTTGTTTATATCAATAAAAGACCATCAATTTACTGTTATTATTACTTTTGAGTTGTTATACCAATGTCATTTGTTCTAATTTATTATTTGCTTCATTTATTACTTTAGAGTCCAGAATTAAAAAGTGCTATTTAATACTTCGAAATAAGATTTCGGATATATATTCAAGTTAATCTAGAGTGTGGATGTGGGTTGAGTAAAGAGATGAATCACATCCACAGTCTGGTCGAATCACATCAAATAAAATTTTCCATTTATTGATGCTAAATAGTTTCGATTTTTGCGTTTAAAATAGAGTTTGATGTCAATCAATCTTACACGAGTTGATCAGTGTTGATTAAATATTGAAATTAGCAGTTAAGGGACTTATTTGATTTTCATGGTTCCAAAATGGTCAGAAAGCATCAACAATCATTTTGTTTTCCCTTAGCGAACATTAAACTTGCTTTTTCTTATCATTTTTTTTTCAAGACACATATCCATCAATATCAGAGGCTGAGAGAACCGTCAAATTAGAACTGATTTCAGCTTAAAGAAAATTTTTCTCGAAATTGGGTGGGGATAAAAAAATTCTCCCTATTTCGAGTTCTACAAGTGGCTAGTTCGACATTGAATGATTTGATCCTTGTTAATCTTCTGTTTTCTTACATGTGCAAAATCAAATGTTGAATTTGTAGTTTTTTGCATATCTTCAATCTACCACAAATAATGATTCGTACTGATACTTTTTTGTTTTTTGAAACCCTGTTACAAACATTAGTAACGTCACATTCTATAAATTTTTTACCAAAAGTGTCTTCAATTTGAGTAAGTTCGAAAGCAAAAGTTAATCAGAGATCAAGGAAAAATATTGTTGGAATTAACTGACTTGAATATGTTTCTTATTAAGAATTTTTATCTATTTTTTTTCGAGCAAAATAAATCAAAATTTCATTTCGAAAATATACGGTTATCTGATCTACGAAAACTCAGCAGATTTTCTTGGAACCACACGAAACTTTCTCTTTTGTTATGAAACCTAGATTTTTTAATGTAGAAGCTATTTCAAAATTTATAATCATACTATGGTTGATTACGGTACATATTAATGTCTAAGCAATTCATTTACATTAAACTGTCGTAAACGCTTACTGACCCAGCATCGCTTTATTTTTTGTATTGACTTTACGTTTTTGTTTTTGTTTTTTGTTATTGAAGTTGGAAAAAACCCACTGATGACAGCCGACAAAGTGCATCATTCTCCATTTTCTTATCACATATTTATCGTAAAAACGAAGGTCGCTATTCAAGTATAATGTATGCAAGGATATTGATTTTTCGCGAAAAAAGAACAGAAGATTATGAGTCGATCGACTTTTGTTTTCTCTTTCTTGGTGAATGATTCATGTGAAACAAAACACATACTGTATCATAGCCAAAAAAAATCAGACAAGGGTTGGTGGTATTTTGTCGAGCTTTTTTGAATACATAAAATATTCATTGTAGACTTTTGGGCTGATTGATAATCATAAAAATAGAGAATACGACCAATTGAAAGAAAAAGCAAAAAAAAGGAATGAAAACAGGAAATGTTAGTTAATGATAAGAATATAATGCAATTAAACTATCAACCATAGATATTCTCATGAAGAATGTTCAAGAAAGATAGCCGTGTTGCTCATAATTGACTGTATGTTCCTTTTGATATCGAATGGAAAGACATCAGAAATATTACTTCTTTTCATAGGTCTTTATCAAATTTCAAAGTTCAAATGTAGCCAGAAAAAAAACAGATCATATTTGACTAGGAAAACGTTCTACCTATTTCAGTCTATTATTTAAAATTTTTCTCTAGTCATATTTGAGCGTTGAAATTCGATATTACATGGGAATTTTCCAAATTTTATTTATGTTGTATGACGTCATATGCATGCCAGATACACTAAAGGGTTTTTGGGTGTGAATAGGTGTGGATGCGAGTGTGGGTATTAGCACAAGAGAATAACACATACGCACACCCACGCTCACACCAAAACCCACACCCACACCCACACCCACACCCACACCCACACCCACACCCA